TGTCTGCATCCATTGTGGAGTTTCCTAAACTCTCCTGGTACTTTGTAACTTTGAATATGCTATGAAGTTAAAAATAAACCTTGTATTACAGGTGTTAACAATTGTTTTTATGATTATTTAATCATAAATAATCATTTGATCAATCATCAATCATTTGATTGGCATTGGTTTTGCTTAACATTTTTTACTTAATGGGTTTTAATAGATGTAAATGAAACAAATTGATGTGTTTAAATTACTTAAGGACTTTTTGGAAATAAGGCAAACACTTTAATCAATTACGCATAGTATTTTGTAGATTGACTTTTTGCTTTTTCAGGAGGTTTCTAGCAACTTGACTAAACTATGTGTAGTGTGAAATCTCCTGTGTTGAAAAGAATCTACTGGCAGCTTTTTAGAAATAAATAATAGTGGTGCTGGCATTTCAAGGATGCTCACTTTTCTTGGCCCTGTCACTGAAGAGAATGTTGTTGAGAGGTTGCAGTTGAGAAGAGGGGGGAGAGAGAGCGAAGCCTCTCTCTGTCAGCCTCTTTTGGAGTCTGATATTCCCTATTTTATTGCCTGATTTCTTCTGTGATAGAATCACGGAATCCTCTTCTAAAATAACAGTTATTCCAGAAATAGGAACTTTTTTGCACTTCCAAACCATTACAAGAATGGTCTGCTTCGGTTTTAGTTTTGTTCCTCATTTGTCACTTTTTATCTAAATAGCTTTGAAAATTCACTAAAAGTATGGTAAAAGTAGGATTAGGGAACAAATATTTATGTTGGACGCAATAGAAGCATTTCAGTGTTTATCCGAGAGACTTGCATTACCTCACAGGCCAAAGCCTTCTGAAATCGGTATTTGGGGAACAGATACTAGACGTTTCCTTTATGATAATAAAACTATACTTCTTTTTTACGATGGAGGTTTTTTTAAGCAACAGCTTAAAATGAATTTGAGGGGAAAAAACAATTAGTCTTGCTGCAAACCTAGTAGGCTTCTGTTTTTCAAAATTATAACTCAGATTTGAACAATGACTTTGAACTTCAACTTGGTGAAAGCATGGCCTTGTATGTTGAGATGTTTTGAGATCCTCTGAATTGAAGTTCAAGGCTGTAAGAGTTTGCATAGACGTTTCAGATCTCTAGCTTTTCAAAGTAATACCAATTGGGACATCTTAAGAGTTGTTGAGTTGCTGTACTAATGACTTGACCTCGCTTATAATTAAGCTTATTTCATGTTTTGAAAAGAGGTATGAACAATAGTAAACACCATTCAAGACCTTGAAAATGTCTTTGGCTACAACAGCAACCAAAAAGGAGGTCTGAAAGAGTGGGAGAAAGAGGCAATTTTGTTAGTATTTAAAAGAAAACCTGCTGTTTGGAGACTTTGCTCTTGAATTTTGCATATTTTAATTAATCACTTTAGTATTGACATGTATTTTCACCTAAAAGTTTCTGAAAGCAGTGTGTAAATATTCCCAGGAAATATGTTGCTTGCTTCTGGTGTCTGAGACAGGGAGTATGGGAGAAGGTGGGAAGACTTTGCACATAATTAGAGATATTTAAGAAAGAATAGGAAGTTGTTAGAATGAAGGAGATGTTTTGACCAGTATAATTGCTTAGATGAGGTAGGATATTGATTGGTTAAAGTGAAGTTTAAACAAAAAAGAAAAATCTTGATGTGATAGAATCAAAGCAAGGCATGCAGTTTTGAAATGGAAATGTGTAAAACATTTTGGTAGTAGAGGAGAGAGTTCTGTAAATCTGGGGGCACTAACGTGGGTGTCTTCTCACAGAATTGTAAATATTTTAGCGTATGAATTATTTTCAAATAAAAGTCTTTAAGTCAACTAATCTATAAGAGGATAAAAGGTGCCTGCTGAAGCATGTCCTGATGACAGTGAAACTTAGTGAAGCACTTAAGTTATGCTTTCTTAAGTTATTGTGAAGAATCCTATGGGAACTACAAAACTTGGAGGACTCAAGGGATTCGACACTTTTGTGGTGATGCCCTCATTTGAAAGGATATGGTGAGCATTCAAAATATACATTTAAAGATTCCTGAATTCTTCCCTTCAAACTCAAATTTTGTGCATCCCTTAATACCTTTGGTTTTGTACATTTTAAACATCCTTACATCTTATTGTTGTTGCAAAAGCAAATTTGTTGTCAACCAATTGAACGTGATTGTAATGAGACTCCATATACACCTCAGAGTAACGTGGAAGCGAGGGCAAGGAGAAGCTCATTCACTTTGTCTTCCTACATCTCCCACTTTTCTTCCTTCTCTCCCTGAAATAAACAAGACCACCTTTATTTTAGGGTAACTGGAGGATCTTATGTATTAGATCTCTTCTCTCCTTGTTCTTTTTGGAGTGTGTGTTTCAATAGAACCAACCAGTCTTCTGCTTTGTTCGCCCCCACATGCTGCTGTCTTTCCTGACAGCCTGACATGCTCTAAGTTGAGCCAACAGCATTGACTGGATTTTATGAGAAGTCCTAGTGAAAGTTGCTCTTTTTCTTACACAACTTCCAGGCTTCAGAAGATGCATAAGAATAATTTACAAAAAGTAATAATAACTAAAAAAAAAATCCATTTTATGGTCATGTAGAATAGCTTGAAACCAGTAGAATGTCTGAATTTCAGTATTAAAAGTCTACTGATTGAGTTAACTTACTTTTAATAAAATATATATTAAACCCTCCTCCCAAATACAAAAAAAAATTCTTAGTGTTGTACAATACCTGACAGGGTTGAGGAAGTGAGTATCCTAAAAGTGGCAATAGTGTCACTTCTGGCAGAAGTATGCAAAAGACAATTTTGCCTGGAAGTAAAATATTTCCTACAAATTTCTTCAGTTGCTCAAAGAGTGTAAGAGTGTTTCTGGCATTAGATTTGCTTTTAGAGATGATCAGCTTCAGCAAATGTGTTTGGATCTGCCACAACATCCATCCTTTTTTTTTTTTTTTTTTTTTTTTTTACAGAGGAATTAGATATCACTCGAAAATTGCTGTCTTCAGAAAAAACTAATTCCATTTCTTTTAAATGAACAGGAAGTTGAGTCAGACTTTTATGGAGCTCAAGCCATTATATTTGTTTCCTTTAGCCAAAAAAGCCTTTTTCTGCAGTGTGTTTTCTAGAAATGGTTAGTGTTGGAGTGAGAATAGAATGTGCCTAAAAATGCAAACTTCAGGATGGGTAAATGCAATTAATAAACACTTTACAATGAAAAAAAAAAAGGCATAAAAATGTTTCTGATTATATAACCTTTACAAAGACAGGTAAAGCAATACTTTAAACATTTATTTGTTTTTCTAGCTTTGTGCCATTTCTTGTGGAACTGCAAATCACATTAATACAGCCCTTTTATGTAATAAATTTAATGTGATAGACTTTTGTCTCGTTAAAATCACTGTTGTTAATCTCAAATTAAAAATAAATTCCTGTGCATGTCTCTCATTTGGATTTTTTTCCATTTCTCCTTTCTTTGCTGTGTAACTTTGAGCATCAGTAGTTTTAATGAGTGCAAGCTCTTAAAAAGTACACACCGAAAAATGTTCATCAATTAAATTGTCTTGCAGTGCTTTCAAAGCACTAGCAAATAGTTGCAGCCTTGTCTATTAATGGAATGGTTTCACAACATCTGAAACCCTGTTCAGCCACAGATTGATGGTACAAACTTTTGATTATCCTATTAATATAGCTCTAAATTAAATCTATAAGTGGGCCTTATATAAGAGCTATGCTCGCGTATTTTCTGAATAAACTGGTACTATAGACCTGAAACATTATCTATATACCTTTTGGTCTTCTATTTTCTCTCATATTTAATTAGTGTTTTGCTACTGACTCCCCCATTTATTTAGCATGGCACTGTATTTTGAAAAGTGGTTTAGATTCAAGTTGTTTAGCAATTACCCAGCTCCAAATGAGACCACAGGGTTGCAATTTTAATTTTCCTCTATTTTGGCTCAGCTCATAGAACTCTGAAAGTGGAACAGTTTAAAGTAACCAAATACTCTTCTGCAGTGGTTTTGTGGATGTCAATTCAGTGTCATGGATTTGATGAGAATTTTGTTAAGATTTCCAGTTTTTTAGAAACGGTTTCTTTTTAAAATTGTACTTGAAAGCAGCTATGCACAGTACTTGGAGTGGGGTGGGCGGAGAGCGGAAATCTGTTTCACATTGAAAGTCTCAATGTTATTGCAAGTTTTTTTCCATAAAATATATATATATTTGAGAAAAATAGAACAAACCATCAGGTATCATAACATATGTCCTGAATAATAGTAAGAGATTAAAAATTCTTAAGCAGTATTCATTCAAGATAAGCATAACTCACTTGAGAAAATTATTAATAAAAGGCTTACATTGAAAATAACCTTTTTTATATATATATACACACACACGCACGTGTATATAGGTACATACTTTTACTGTGATTCCATTGATTTTAATCATGTTTAAACCAGAGATGATTCTTCATTTAAGATTCAAAGTGGAGAGAAAGGGGACCTACAATGCTCACTGGCTTTGCAATACTGATTTTCTAAATCTTAATAGTTTATATCTTAAGCAGAGCTGCTTTAATAGGTATATAGTGCATACATCTCTGAATACTACAGTACTGCTTAATTTTGTATCCTTTTTCCTAGTTCAAATGGCTTAATGAGGAAAAGCATTTGTTTTGATGATGATGGAAACATTTAATAATTTTATACGTGTTCTGGTAAAACGGCATGTGTGCTAGGAGTAGGGATGGGGATGTTTTTCCAATGATCTAAAAAAACCCAACCCAAACCCCTGCATGTGTTTGGCCTCTTTCATAGAATTTGCACAAATACAACATGAAGATTGCTTACCAATTCTGAGCTCATGATTTATTCAAGGTTAGACTTCGCTAGTGCTACTTTGGTGGTTAAGTGTAGATACTTTCTTACTTTACCACAGCAATGCGCTTGCTTTTATTTTACCCCGTATTTGTATTTATTCTTTTTCTTTTGATTTGCAGCTCTTTGCAAAAAACAAACCTCCAAAAGGTCTTTATGTCTATGGAGATGTTGGTAAGTTTCAGTTGCATCAATTCCATTGGAATTTTCTCTAAATGCATGTTTATTCAAAATCTGAAGTGTCTAAAAGCTTTATGTTATGTAGCATTATTGCTTTAATGAATTTTCTAGGAATAGTTTTCTTCTACATTATGATGTTTTTTAATACAGTTAGACACTGAATTCTGGAAGCTGGTGGATTGGGCTACATTACCTTGTGTAGTTTTTTTCAGTGTTACCCACTTGCTGATATTTAAGAATGCAATTTAAGAATTTGGGAAGTAATTAAGGGAGCCACAGAGAAAATTTATATATTCTAATTGCAACAATGCAGGATGAAAACATACTCACTTCTCAAAAGGAAATACTAAGGATGTTTTGTGGGTGCCTATGGAGCCATTTGTGCAACATTTGGGCCTTCTCTGTATGGATCACAATTTTAAAACAAAAACTAAAAATGCAGTTGTTCCAAGTTTTTGAACAGAAAATATAACTGTTCTTCACAAACTGTCTGGTCTTGTCCTTATTCTGTGAAAGAGTATAGTTTCATTAGTACAAAGCTAACAACAATCATTATTGTAATCAGTTCATGCTGTTCCTAAATTAACTACCTGTTGGGTGGGGTTTTTTTGGTTTTTTTTGAAGGCACAGGAAAGACAATGGTGATGGACATGTTCTATTCTCACTTAGAAGTAGAAAGGAAAAAGAGAGTCCATTTTCATGGCTTCATGCTAGATGTACACCAAAGTAAGTGCAGACACAGGTATTTATAAGAATTTTATGAAATAAGATATCTATAAAAAGTCTAATTCTCATATTAATCAGCGTAACTTTATTTAAGTATTTAAGCAAAAAAGTAAAAAATAGGAGAGAAGTTTAAGGATTTTAGCATGGTCTGTCATACCAGAGTAAATAATAATTGCATATTATTTCTCAAGTATCTTTTCTCAAAGATTCTGTATACCTGATTGTATAGAAAACTTGGGTGTATATTTAGGATTAAATCCCTAACTAAATGTTCTCCAGTTATCAGCTAGCTTACATGCAATCTGAAGAAGGCAATTGCTAAAACTGAAACAGTAAAGGTTAAATTCAATCTACATTTTGAATAAGCAATAACTAAATCAGGTATACACGCCAAGGAGAATGAGAACTGTTCAGGTTGGCAAACTTACTATTACTGTGAGTAATTTAAAGGAAAAGATAATAGAAGGAAGTTCATCCTAAGTTTAAGACAATTTTCTGACAGGCTGAATAAGGCACTGTTTTTGACAGCAATACTGTTTGAGATATTTTAAAATTTGCTTCTCTCTAAATTCTATGACCTTAAAATGCTGTGAAATTATTAAACAATGCTGTAATTTACAAGTATTGTGACAGCTGCATTTTTCTTGGGAGGCTTTCATCGGTGTAAACAACTTCTGCCACTTCTAGTGCCCTCTCTTCTATCATTGTTTGGTCATTGTTGAGATTTTCTCTTTCCATTTTTTGTCATTTGTGCTTAATCTTAACAAAGGTAGCTTCTTACTGCAGGATCTTTGTTTTCAAAATGTTTGTTTATAGTCAGATGGAAAACAATCCGTGAGACAGTAGAGTATGGATGTAATAATCTTACTTGGTGCCAGTATCATCGTCTTTACATTTTAAAATGTAACTGTGGTGTTCTGAGTTCTTTGAACTGAATGCATTCTAAGTATACCTTCAGAGAATGCAATGCACAGAGCTTTGCCATTGATTTGTAAACACTGTAATGGTTTTTCATACTCAGAGAGAAGGCTAAGGCATAAAATGCCAAATTACAAAATGAAACCGAGGTCATGAATTGGAGCAAGATAAAACTGTAATTTGTATCAGTTTTTAAAAGATAAAGTATAGGTGCATAGCATTCAAGGCTTTTTTGATTTTTTTTTTTTTTTACATATTTCTAACAAAGAAAATACGAATCGCAGAATCTGTGAGCTTTTAATAGTTGTCTGGATGTGGTCGAAAACTGTTTTGCCTTCTTGAAGGCAAAGTTGAAGTTTTCTTATTCTTACTGGACTGGGTTACTTTTTATTTGGTAGCTAAATAATTTTGTTCTCCCTGTCTTAGAAAAAGAAATAAAAAATATTCGTTCTTTTCTGCTTTATCAACTCAGGAATACATCGCCTTAAGCAGAGCTTGCCAAAAAGAAAGGCGGGATTTATGGCCAAATCATATGACCCAATTGCTCCAGTAGCAGAGGAAATAAGCGAAGAGGCTGCTCTCTTATGTTTTGATGAATTTCAGGTAAGAAGTCAGAGATTACTCTGTCACTTCAAGGGAAACTTCGTAAAATTGCTTTTAATCTTAAAACATGACACTTACTACTGCTAATACAGCATTTGGATCACTGTAGAAGTTGAAGAGTATAAGTAATTTCATCAGTTTTTAAGATGGTGGTTTTCTTTTTTTCCAGGAAAAAAGATGCTAGTTGGCAGTGTAAGTCCCCTTACAGTGCTTTCATTTACCAGTCTAGTTACTGGTCATACAAGGGGGTATTAGACTTCGGTGAGAGGCTGCTGAGTAGTTCAGGGTAGGGACCATCATGCTGTACAGTGCCCCGGAGAGTAGTCGCCTGATACTTGCTTGGCATGCCTGGTCTTTGCTGTAGTTCATCTAATGCAACAAAATCATCTCAGTGTGATTAAGGACATGGAAATAACATGTCAGATTCAACCTAAATTCTTTCCTAGAGTTACTGGAGCCTTTGGCATGTCAGTGCCTGATTGTATCAGTGTAACTAGCATTTTAATAAACTTTTATTGACTTAAATGTGAAAATTAAAAATACACTCATAAAATTGTTTTTGCCCAAGCTAACTTGCTTGTTTTGTTTGTTTTACACAGCTTGTGAGTTTTATTTTATGGGCATGCCACAAATTTAAGTGCAGAATTGCTTTATATAAATTTTTAGGAGAGAGGCTAGAGGTATTTGGCAGCTCTAATCAGCTGAGTTTTTTTAAATTCAGAGAGAAAATGCAGAGCAAGATAAGAACAGATTGTGTTAGTTCTCAAATCACCACTAGTAAAAGAATCATCTATTAATGATAAATTGTTTTATGCTCTTAAATTAATACATTACTGAAATGGATAGAGCAATTTATATCTCCTAGCTGTTATTTCACAAGCCTGTGCACCCGAGAAAATAACCGGTTTATGATCAGCTCCTATGAAGGGGATTTTTGTAGCTGTAAAGTAGTAAGTGTTCTCGTTTTAAGTTACTCTTGTATTTTTCAACATGGGGTAGTCCTTTGATCTATGGTTTCAAAATGTGTGGGGTCATTGCAAGTGCTGCTGTTTGATCATTTAAATTGTGCTTTATCTAATGAATATGAATGCTGGCCTTCTAAAACTTGCAGTATAAAACCTAAATACAGAGACAATTGTATTTACACTACGAAGAAATAGGAAGGTTTGGAGAGGGCAGGGAGGAGTGTTAAATGTCAAATGCTCAAATGGTAGAAGTAGGCATCTTTGCTATACCATGTATTAGTGTAAATACCTGCTTTTCCGTAAAAATGCCCACTGCTTTCACATCCTAGCGTTGCTGTCTTTCCAGACTGCCTGTCATGTTTTCACATTTTAAGGGGAGAGACTGGTATTTTTTGTTTCCAAATTGATTGCCTGCTCCCCCTGCTGACTTGCTTGAGGTACATCAATCACTTCAGTTGTAAAAATCACCTGCTTTTGTCAGTGAGTCACAGTTGGGAAAGTAATACAAGAACTATACTTCAAAATGTGTATCTAAGACTTTGCATTCTTATGTGAATTTTAAAAATCTACTTGTTCTGGGTGTAGTAGTGTCCTAAATTCACAGATTTCTGAACAGCTGGATTTCTTGACTTACTTTCTGTAGCATGGGACGCTACGTAGGCTTTGCCTACTGAAGAGGAGTCCCCAGCTTTCTGAAATTTTGCAGAAGGCACTGAATTTGGATTAAGAAACCTTCTGCTTAAATAGTCATAAAATAGCACAATGACTGGAAGAGCAGTTCACGTGGTGACAAAATTAACACTGATAATAAGGAGCCATATCTAATTCAGGATGTTTGCAGCTCATTTCCCCAGTGGAGATAATGGCTAGATTTACTGCAATCTGATTCACTCATATTTAAAGAATTGCTAGATTAAAATGAAACTGGAAAGAGCTGGAGACGCAGAACATGTAGTGCCCTGACTTGCAGACAAAGCTACTCTCTGTTTTGACAGATGGAAGGTCAAGCTGGGTCTGTACTACTTTGGCAAAATACTTGTGTGTGGAGGAAACTCCAGAAAACTCTGGAGATTTTCTTGAAACACTTCAGGTTGCTTTCAGATACCTGTTGAACAAAAGAATAAGCTGAAATTATTTATCTCAAGATCAGGCACATGGATGAGTGATATTGTAACAGAGACAGCAAAAAGTATTGTTAATGCTCATATTTCAGAGGAAACCAAATGCAGAACTTCAGAAGACAAAAGCATTGCTGAGGTTGCACATTCCTCTTTGACAGTGGGCTAAAGCAAAACAGAAGTACTCAGAAGGGAAGCTCATTGCAAAGCCTAGAGAGCTGTCGAACAAGTGAAGAATTGACTAGTTGATGTACAAAAATATATCAGTACTTTTAAAAGTAGTTTTGTGTGTTCCAAAATATTCTCATGTAAAAAAAAAAAATTATTGTGACGTTAAGTGTTTCTTTTTGCAAATACTGTGTGATAGCCAGGACCTTAGTGATGACACTAAGCTTCTGAGTTTGTCCATTCTGAAGCAGGTTTTTTGTCAGCTTTAGCCTGAGCCACAGGCTCTTGGGTTATTAAAGCATTGCTACTTCTTACTGATCTTTGTCATACAGTTTACTGTAAATATTTTTTTTTTTTTTTTTTTTTTTTTTAAATCATGGAAGTCTTAAGCCATTCTAAAAATGTGTCCACATTTTGAAGAAAACCCCTAGAATTAAGCCATTTGCAATTCTAATTTTGATATTTCAGAACAGAATGGTTGGCTAATTAAAAAGACTAGTTATTGTTTAGCGATCAAGTAACTATACACAGGTAATTAGAAGCTCTAATTTTGGCATGTGCCTGTAACCTATGTTAGTAGTGATAATGAAAACAGAATCCCTGCTTCTTGGTAAACTGGATGATCATACAGTGTTAGTCTTTATATATACCATGGCTATTACTTGGACTTAAAGCAAACTACAATTTAGGGAGTTTTTACTAACCTACATGCTATTAAAAGCCTCTAATAAAAATTAGGCTCTCATTTTTGTGCTAATACTAATTACTGATAATACATGCTTATGTTTGTCATTCATTACGTGGAACTGTACCAATCAGTGGATGACTGAGTCTCAGGCACTTACACATGTAAATTAACTATTAGTCTAGTGTTTTTTCTTTTTTTTCCTTTTTTTTTTTTTTTTTTTGTGAGTCATAATGGAAAGCAGCACTAGGTCACAAAAATCTTTTCTCTTAAATGCTAATGAAATTTCTCCATTCGCTCTATTAGCAGGCTCTCTTTATTGGTAATTTGTAGCCTTTGCTTTTGTCCCCTGTTGCAATGAATGCTGGATACAGTAAAAAACATTAGAAATGACAGTGCTTTAGTTACTGTCTTCTACCTGCTTTACCTTGTAGAAATTTTCTGTCTTTCCCAAGCTGTATTAGATAAAAAGAACTCATATTTGCATGCCAGTTCTCAAAATGGCTCTTGCTTTTTGACAGAACTTTTGAGAGTTGTTTTTTTTTGTTTGTAATGGAGCTGAAAACGTCAGAATTCCACATCAAATAACAGTTCTCATTAGTAAGAGAATGTTAGTAGTAGTTTTATTAATACTATTGTCTTCCCGGTTTTCTAAAGGTTAGCATGCCTTACAGTATTTTTAAACAAAAAAGTTTGTAACAAAATGGTTTATATAATAAATTTTTAAAACTTGGCTAGTAGGTTTGCTTTGTGATACAAGAAATTCAGTTACCCCTAAAATGCACAAATATACTGATTTCTTGTGTGTCTTGTTTTTTAGGAACAGGGGAAGTTCCTGAATTTTAATATTCAGAAGAAATAAATTATCGATAGGTGGGTGCAGAAGCAGATCTATTAGACATGTAGTGAATAAATTCAATAGTGAATTACTACATGCTTCTTGGAATATCAGATCTCAGTGATCAGGGATGTGCAAATCCTGAAGGATTTGTTACTGATTGTGTAAAAGTTTGGTTTTGAAAAAGGAAACAAATTTCCATATTTAATGCATCCCATAGAACTAATTAGAAGCAATCTTTGGAAGAAGAAAAATGGTGTTTACATATGGTTCCTTACGAACATTATTTCTTCCAAACTAGCTGTCAGAAATGTAACCTAAGACTTTTAGTGTTTCTAGTGTAGAATTAAATTTTTTGCTGCCCAGAAAGGCAGTGTAGAAATGGGGGGATGATGGGGGGTGGTATGGTGGTGAAGCAGGGAAAAAATTTATACTGGTTAAAGTCTTTCTGTAGATGTATTACTATCACAACATATACATCTAAACTGGTGAAAGCATAGCAGTCTGCCAGTCTGTTGTGTAAAGAGCATGTGTAACTCTCAGCGTGCCACCTCTTCTTTTTTTCCTCAGAACTGGGGTCTGTTTTGGTAAGTCAAAATGCAACAAGTGTCTATGTAGTAACCAAAGGGAATGCAGGAGAAACAAATGTAATGGTAATAAAGATGGTTTATTTATTAGGATTGCTGATCTCCACTTGTAAAAGACAAATTGCTGTTTTAACAATGGGGTTTTTTTTAGAAAAAATTATTTTATTTTTTTCACTTGTACAAAGTGGTTTCTGTTTTCTTTTATTTCTTGGTACCATAAAGCAAGTTTGTTAAGCTAAACTTAGATATTTAAAGAAATTTTACTTCATGGCTTATTTTTTAGTCTCCCCCCCAGTATTACTTGTCCCACCCATTTTTATTTTTCATTCGTGTTTTGTGCCTGAAGGTTAGAAGAGGCTGACTGTGCTGGAAGTGACTGCCGTGCCTTTTGATTATTCATGGACAGTAATAGAAGGCACTTAAAAAGAACAATGAAATTGCTTATTTTTGTGATGGGCCATCTGTTGAATTGTTTTTTTGCAACAATCACACAATAGTATCTATGTCATATCATTCTATTTTCAACAGCAGCTGATTATGTATAGTTGGCTACTTGTCTTTATTTCTGAAGTCCCATGACCATTTAAATTCACCTCTGCAAACCTTTGCCTCAAAGGTAATAGAAATGTGAAACAGCCGGTGTGTATTTTCTTTGTCTTCTGTTTTTTTTATGTTGTTTCTAATTAATTAGGCCTCTTAAATGTTTAGGTCTGTTTTCTGTGTCTCCCACCTGTATTTTTATAATAGAAGTTAACATGGAATCATTTAGCAATTGGTAAAGAAATGGTGGAGTTCTGCAATAAAGAGTGGGCAAGTTTTGAAAGACTGTGGTACATTCACTGCTTATTAATTATCCCTTTTATTTTTTTTCTCACCAAGCAATAATTAGAATCTTTCTCCATGGCTTTCACTAACAAGCATTTTTCCTAGCTACAAAGCCACTTGCAGATCTATTGCGGCAGAAGCTGAAAGCAAGATAAAACAAATGTGTTGTCTTCTGCAGGTCACTGACATTGCTGATGCCATGATTCTGAAGCAGCTTTTTGAAAATCTGTTCCAAAATGGGGTTGTCGTTGTGGCAACATCTAACAGGCCGCCAGAAGGTAAAAACAAACATGCTACTAGTATTATCCAAATACAATGAATCTCAGTATCTTACAAAACAATCGTATTAAAATGATATAGTACTTAAGACTAATAAACTGTCTAGTCTTCAAGAATCTGAGATATTCCAATTTGTCCCCTGTTTTTTTCTGTTCTTAAAGGAAGAAAGGTTTTTCACTAAAGCTTACTCCTCTCTTCTCTCAAACAAGGGTATTTGGGTACAGGGTAGTCGAGGAGGGGTGAAATACTGCCTCTGTTTTGGATGTATTCCAGGGTAGGAAAAGATCATATTCTGCAGAAGAAAGGGGAAATGAGAGTATATTCCTTCCCGGTTTCTAACTCAGAAACTTGCAGGCTTGATCTCTCAAAGGAGAGCCCCTCATCAAGATGCCATTCTCACAGCCTGGTTTGAGGTCACTCATTGGGAATTACTTAGGTGGAGAGTTCTTTCCATTTCTAACAATATTTTTAGATAGAGTGACTAGCTACGTAGATCCTTCTACAGAGTCCCCAAATCTGTATAGGTTTTAACCAAGCAGTAATTGTAATTTTTTGTAGAGAAGAAAAATGTTTGTTACGGTGTAGCGTTAGCAGTTAACATAATGAATGATTTCTATGCAACTTTTATGACACTTTAGATGATTCATTTCAAATGTTTGCAAAAAATACTGAAGAGTTACAGTATTAACTGTAACTACCAGTTATTTTTTTCTACCACAATTAATTGAGAAAAAAGAGAATCACTAAAGATTTACAATGCGCTTTTATCTTAAAAAAAAAAAAAAAGAGAAGAAAACACTAAAATGTTTTTATCAGAGGAAGAAATAATTTCCCATTGGTTTATTTTCCTTGTTTGAACAAACAAGATGAAATCATAACTACTGTAGTTGGGTTAACTACAGATAAACCAGACACTGGTGCCTTACTCAATTGGGAACCTTCCTTGTGTTTTTTGAAGCACTACTCTTTAAAGTTCAGGAGAGATTTTCACCATAACTTGGGGATTGTATCCCTCATCTTAAATTGAGATGTCCATTTGTGACCATTATCGTCATATGGGGTTTTATTTACTGTGTAAACCTGAAAGACATCCAGCTGTACTAGCTAACCAACAGAGAATGTCAAGAACGGCGTCTCCAGAGCTGAGCTATGTTGCAGTCCAGATGTTGGTCAATGCCTGTCTCTTCTTCCCTTCTCACTACTCCTGCACACTCACGGTGAGTGTCTGAAATTGTCCTGCAGGAGAGTTAGGTTAGTGTAGTATGCTGCATCAAGGTTGAAGGCTGAATTGAGAGATTTGTTTCTTGTGGATACAAAGGGGAAAAGCGGCTTTTTCATTAGAGAGCAGATGTACCCAGCTGCTGACCATTAGTGACATGCTTAGCCATGTTAAACTTCTGCCCCAGGGGAATATGAGGGGATATACTGAAGCGCAGTGTTTGAGGAATCCTGGCTTCATTTATCCACTAAAATTACTGTTTATTTTTCTCATCCTCACAAAACAGAGACATAACACAAAACTCACAGCCTTAGTAACTAGAAGAACTAACAGAAGTAGCTGCCTTATAGTACTGTTATGTGTTCACTCATTTTTGCAAGTAAATATCCAATTGCTTGCTGTTTTAACAAATGTATAGTTATCGCGGTTTTCAGAGTTCTGAATGAGAATGATACATGGCTTCATACAGCTTTGTTAGTAATTTGGGTGCGGAATCACCTTCACTGATAATTTTCCTAAATGTTTCTGTCTACGTATTCAATTTTGTGAAAAGCATTTTGTAGGTGTCCTGTTGGTTTCTCATGCACACTGGATCTTCTGTCCATCGTGAGGTGTTGGTAGAGCATAAAAGCTTTAGCCTCGTTACAGCCTCCAGGCATTATGGGGAATATAGGTGGTCTTTTATAACCTGGCATGGTCTTCGCAGGGAATTTTAGTGACACCTTTGCCAGGTGTCTGTATTATCTTATTTATTCCTCCTGTCAGTCACAGGTGCTGTACTGCCTTTTTATAAGGCTTCCTAATATTAATGAAAAAGAGCAGCTCATCGTACATTTTAAGTGATAACATTTTCAATGAACTTGTTGGGCAGTTGCATAGTCTCCAGAGAAGAGAAGTTTATGCTTTATGAAATAAAGAGATAAATAAGATATTAAAATGCTGATTTGCAGTTTGGTTTTATTATTTGTCTTGTCTTTGAGTGCAGATTTGCATTTTGTTACATAACATAAATATTTTTTTTTAATTCACTTCTATTTTTAGCAACTTTGCATAAGTTTACATATTCATTTAATTTTCTTTTTTTTTACCTTTGCCTTAGGCATGACCCTTTTTCTGGCTTTGGAAAAGGGAGTGTACCTGGTAGAACTGCTAGAAGATAAAGTGTACCACAGTATGCTGAATAAGAATGATACTAACTTTGTAAACTCAGATAGCGTATTTTTAGTTTATGTTGGGTTTTTCCCCTCTGCCAAATACTTGGGAATTAGCAATTGCATAGTTTTGGCCTTATAATCATACCAATGTATACCCAGCGTTACAAATCCTTTTTTATGTCCTTACTTTAAAACAGATGCCAGTTCTTCTGCGAAGTTCAGTTACATGTTATTAGAGATTTAAGTCATCTTTCACTCACTCCCTGCCTTTTTCAGACTTTCTCAGGATGTTCGTTATGTATTGAATTTTCATACAGCAAAAGAAATCAATTTCAGCTTTCCTTTCCCACTTTTTGTCCCTTCTCTTTTCCAACACCGAGTTTTATTTGCCAGACTAAAAGACAAGCTGACATTGTTATTAAGGCTAAGTAGCAAAACTGTACCGATTTCCTTTCTTTCAGATCTCTATAAAAATGGTCTTCAGAGAGCTAATTTTGTACCATTCATTGCTGTGCTGAAGGTAAGGAGAGTCACTTGTTAAATGCTTTTCAATTTTGCCTGCTGTATTAATAAATAAGACATTTGTACAGGATTACTTTGATACTACTTTCCAGATAAGATGTGTATGCTTTAACTGTTTGGGGCAAGAATAATCGAAGGTAAGGCAAAAAGGAACTCTTCCTCTCTAGAATTAACATGCCTTGAAAGCTGGACACTTTTAGTATGACCAAAAGTCAACTTTTTGACTAAGGCAGCAGAGTTTGTTTGTTTGAATATGACTTTTCTTACTGGTGTCTATATGCTGTGTAACATGGTATTCCTCTAAGTTATACTGTGTTGTACTTGTGGACATCTTACATTTATTATGCTACAAAAACTTGGTGTTCCTTTGGTGTAAGGGAAGTAGTGTCTGGTATGTACCCCTCAATTACCATGGGGGTCCTTCTCATATGTAAATGGTTTTCTGTACAGATACTTGTCAGGCTTCATGTAATGTTCAACAAGCAGCAGTGCTCTGCCTGGATTGACCTGACATGTACCTCACAAAAGTATTGCCAGCGTAAATGCATAAATAATGTTAACTATATCAATATCTAAGGTAAAAGAAAGATAAGGTAGAGTTTAGAGTAGGTTTGGCTTAGTGAGAAGAAATTTGGAATTGCTGAATAGATACATTGGTTGGATGTTTCTGTTAAGGTGGTCAGCAGTAAAGCAGTTGACAGTGCCTTGGGTTTTCAGTGGGGCATTTTGGAATCGTAAGATTGCTTAATTGCTTAAGCACCTTTGAAAATCCTATCTAATGTTGACATTTGAGCAATTACCAGGTTTCAAAGTTAATATGCCATTGATGTGAATGCAGCACTCCTATGTATCTCAGAATGGCTGTGTATAAAGTCAGGGAGGTTACCGGTGAAAGTGGTTCTTACCTGGATGGCTTTAGAAAAGTAAAAAACATAAAAATAAATGAACAACCACTTCAGATTCTTGAGGATTTATTCTGTAGCTGACTGCACTGGATGCAGGAGAGGTCCTGATCATAGAGCATTTTCAAGAATAGTAGTAGTTTCGTATGTATTTGCTTTTTGAAATGCAGCATCTGTGGCAAATCTTCCTTTTCTATATATCTTTCCTTGTTGACTCTTTGTTTTCTTCCTTGATGAATGTAAGGCTCTTTCATTTCACTGATGATCAGACTTATGGAGTATCTATCATGTATGCTTATTTGTAGTTTCCTTTTTTCTGGCTAGCTGAAGCAAAAAGGTGAAGTGTATTTTATGTATACAGAACATCTCATCAAGACTGGGAAAATAATTCGAATTTTTAGAGGGGACCTTGTGGACAGAAGGCTAAGAGAAGCCCTAAAGGTGGATTGCTTTAGAGCTGTGATGGAAGGTGGAGTGGTGCAAAAAGAAACAAGTAGCACAACCCAGACTGGAGGTAAACAAACATTGCCATAATAATGAATGAAGGGAGAAAAAAGGTTTTACTCAATGCTTGATTCACAAGGGCCTTTCTAAAATTCTGGACTACATGTCGTTGTTTTTTCCCCCACATCTTTGTGTTTTAACACTGCTCTAAATATATCTGCCTTTAATGTCACCTTAATAATTGTTACCAATATAACATCATTCTCTCCCAAAAACACGATACCTGAAAGGTGGATCAGAGGAAGCTTATCAACAAATGCTTCTCTGACCTTAGTTGGAAAATGGGAGGGTAATGGCAAGGTATTAAAAACAATAATTAAAAAATTTCCAATTCTACATTTTAAATTCAACACATCAGAAGAAGGCATTAAAAAAAACACATTGGAATGTATTTTAAAGTAAGATTTTTTTAACAAGTGACTTTTACATTACAAAGGCGTGGATAGAACTAAATTGGTACTCTGGCTGTGGTGGTTTGAGAAATGCAGATTTAGGCCTCCCCAATGTGTGTGTAATCTGGATCATAGCATTGGTGTTAATGGATGGAGTAACTTCTGCCTCAGCTGTCTATAATCCCGTGTGTGACTTTAGGAGAAGTAAAGATTATATCTTCCAGGGTTTTGCATGGAAGTATAAAGGAAAAATGTTACATTGGATGCTTTCAAATGTTTGATTTACTGTCTTCTCCACCTTTACTTTGCTCTAAGCCACATGTGTCTGTGGTGGTGTCAGTCTCATCTAACCTGTTCCCTGGTAGTGGCTTTGACAACTTGGGCTAACTCCTGCCTTAGTTTTCTCTGGGCTCAGGACCTCCTGCAGGGCTTTTGTTTGGGAGTGAGTGGGTGAGTTGGGTTTGTTTGTTTCAGAAACTAACTTTTATGCTCATAAATCTTAAAGTAAGGCTTTAGCACTAAAAGTGGTTGAAGTTCAACACAGGAGCTCCGAACTCCTTTAAATATTCTTGGGAAGATAAGATGAATGGAAAGTGTTGACAGTACAATTCTGTGAAGAGATGCTTCACTTGAAATAGATTTCAGGCTGTTTCTATTCCTTATAAATGGAACACAGAGTTCCTAAATACCCGGGTAACTGTTAGACAAAAATCTTTCCCTGTCTTCAGAAATCAAAATAAATGGTTTTGTTCCTGGGTCTAGCATTACCTACGTTCATCCTTGGTTTTGTTGGGTTTTTTTATTTTCTGCAGACTATATAATTCCAGTTATCTGTATTTGAAGAAATATCATATTTCTTACAAAGATAACTACAAACCCATTTCTGTGGAACAAGCAGCGAGGTGAAACAGTGCTCTAGGGAAGATTCTCTTGCAGAGGTCGTCCGTATTGCCTTTCTAGGTGGTAGATTACTGGGGACAAGTGACTGCTGAATGCCTGCAGTGGGAGGTGCAATTGGTAAGTTCCACTTTTTAGGGCCACATAAAAGCTCCAGGTCTGGGTGGCTGGGCAGGCCAGTGAGGCAGCTCTTCCTGCCCTGCCTGTATTCCCTGCCCAGTTCTGAACCTGTCCCAGTATTCTGATCTTTCGAAACCTTAAATAGTTTGAGATCTAATTTCTCAGTGATTCTTTAATCCTGGAATTTAAAGCAGTAGTTTTCATAAACAGGGAAAAACTCTCAATTGATCGGTTTGTTGTTGTGGCTAAAATTCTTCGGGACACAATATTCTTTACGGAAGGGCTTAGTTTCTGCATAAGAGTGCTTCAGTCCGTGAAATTTTATAAAGATAGAGCTTTACAGAGATGAGAAGTATTAGGGAGGAAAATCTCTTAATTCTATAATTGCAATTAGATTCAGTCACTTCTGATTGAGCTTTTAATCTTGCAGCGTCTCTTACCGAGCATTTTAAAGTGCATGGAACTCCTCAGTGATTTTTTTTTTTTTTTAACAAAGGCAGTTCTTGAAAAGAAAAACATTCATTGCTCACAGTTATTTTGCTCAAATGCTTAGAGCAGAAATACTCCAAAAATTGTTACTCTAAACCAGTAAGAAATATAAAAATTTTCTAAACATTTAAAAACTGGTTTACAAATAAAGCTATGTATCTCTAACAGCTAGATGTAAAAACTGAAGTGAGGCTCTTAAAAAAAAAAAAAAAAAAAAAAAAAGAGAGAGAGAAAGCATGCTTTGTGTTACTGGTTTGGTAGTAATTTTAACAACATTTTAATTTTTGCAGACATGTAATGAAGACATTTACATCAAGCCTTAACTGTTCTGGAATCGTAATTCAATGACTAGTTCAATGCTTAATTCTTCAGACAAACAGGACGGAAAGCTCCTCAAACTGTTTGTTGTGTATAATCTATAACTTAAATGAGCAGTTCTTGAGTTTCCAAAGGTTGCCTGGGACCACAGTGTGAAGTTTTAAAAAGTCAAGCCAAGTTAAAATGCCAAGTATGTAACTTCTGCATTTTGTCAGGTTTTCTTTATGCAGTAGATCTGCACTGCACCAAATTCTTAACTGGAAGTCAGGAGGTTTTAGGGCCTTCCATAGCCTGAGTATACCTTTAAAAGTTACAGTTTTAAAATAAAATGTTTGGCTTCGGCTACCTGCATTTTGCGTTAACGAAAGGTAAAGAATCAACCAGAAACCTGTTTTGAGTAGGACTTGAAATTACTGTAAGCTTGCTATAGTGAACTGTGTTTTAATTCTGCTATTAGGAACCAAATAATTATTTACTTTAAAACTATTTGGTTAAAATGACTCTTAACAGTAAGCATTGTACACGCTTCTCAAATAGAAAGCAATATATTTTTATATGCTGTGTTGGTCACTTTTTCTTGAAATTGGTTAATGATAATTTATTGACATTGTTGCCTACGATGGTTGGTTTTAATTAAAATATACCCTTCCTTTCAAAGCAAGGAAGGGAGGAATTTAAAAGTATTTTGACTTTTCAATAACTTAGTTTGAATATGCGAAAAATACTTGTTTAAAACATTTAGAGCTGTCCCTGAGGAAAATTGTGGGAGTTAAGTTTTGTACAAAGGCATTTGGCAGATATAAAATGTCTTTGATGGGGCACTCAGCTTTTGTCCAACCACCTGTGTGAGAAATGCAGGGATTTGTTGATTGACAGATCTGCCTCTTCCCACCCCCCCAAAAAAAAGTCATCTCCTTGATGAAATTGATTTGTCAGTTTGTTCCAGTCTAATGGTGTGATAGCCCAGCAGCTTTCAGTATGTTGAATAGTTAAAACCTGCTTTTGAGGTCAGTGTCAGCCACTCTGACCCCTGTGAACTGTCACCTGAGTCAGAATTGCAGGGATTAGGCCTTTGATATTGTGATGGCTTCGCCTATCAATTGACTTTTTCATTACTGAAGATGTTGGGCCTTTTGTTTCCCTTCTTAGTATGTAACCAAGCAAACTCCTAAGTAGAAGGAGCATTTGTTCTTGTTCTCTCTCTCTGCAAGTAATAGAAGTACTCATCCTTTGTGAAGTGTACCTAATTAAACATAGAAAAAAATAAAAAAAATAGAAGATATAGCATGATTGCAAGTATTTTTGTGCTGAACATCAGTATAATTTCTGGGTAATTTTAGTTTGACAAATTTGTAAGACTGTCAGCTAACAAAATGTTGTATATAGGAAGCGAGGTGTCAGATTGGAAGTTACCAGCCCTTTCTGCATTCAGCCCTCTAAGCCGGTGTGCGTGTTAAATTTAAACACAAGGATTATTTGAATTCTGTAGTTCAGCGTGCTTAACTGTTATGATATTTTGTAACGTACCTATTGCTTTAGTGTGTTCTCTAGATACTAAGCTGTTCAGTTTGTTTACCTGCTACATCTGTTTTACACACATACGTTTGCTCCTAGGCAGTTTATTTCGATGCAGATGAAAACTTTTATCTAAGGATAAAATAGTTGCTACTGTAGCTCAGCGTTGGGCTCCCTGCCTTCTCGCTTCTTTTAATTGTTAGCATTTCCTGAGTTCTTGCTTGGTTTGTTTACTCCTTGATTAAAATGAGTAAATCAAAGCATATCATAGATATGGAATAGTCGATTACTGCTGTATCAGGGTAAATTAGTCTAATTACACGTGGCAGTTTTATTTTCTTGTGATGTAATGTGAAATGAGGTCCTGCCTCCCCCCAAAAAGCCCGAGCCAATTAATAAAGCTTTTAAGCTCTTTGTCACAGGCCACCATGGAGGTCTACAGAGAAGAACTTTAATCCAATAAACATTTCATTTAGATCATGAAAAGAAAGCATGAGGAGAAGCCCCTACAAGAGAGGGTGTTACCAGCAGTTCTAGCCATGAAGAGATGTGAGGAATTTGCCAAATTAACCAAGAGGCCTTCATATTTAACACATAAATGTGTCAAAACTAATAATAGAATAATTTAATTTGAGTTGAACCTTATATTGTTAAAATTCTAAGAAGCCACAACTGTTTTCTTCAAAGACTTTACTGTGGAGTTGGATGGACAGGGCAAGGGGAGGTTGTGAGAAACCCAGATAGCAAATAACACTGGCCGAAGCTGGTGGAAAGAAAAAAAAAAAAAAGGAATAGATAATTAGGTGTAATTAGCGTGTATGAATTGTTGTCTCCCTGCCCTTGGCTTGAATAAATTTCAGAGCAAAAAACCCCTAGTGGTGAAAACGCTTTGATGTAAGAAGAGTCATTGTGGTTTGGCAGCATAAAGGCAGTGTTTTATACTTCTTACATAATGGTTGTGATACAGAAAGAGTGAATGGACCCTGCACCCCCCAGACTGCTTTACAGCAAGGACTTTTGGATTCCCTTGAAACAAAATGCATCAGAAGTTTTCAGTTGTTGGTAATGAGGTAGTGGACCTCATCAGAGCTAAGCGTAAGCCATCTTTAGCCTTTGTTTAGATCTTAATCGCATTTTTTTTTTTTATTCTGGGAAATCCAGTTTCGTAAATCAATACTTTTTTTTTTTTTACTTTTTTTTTTTTCCCCCCCCTGCCTGCCAACAGTTCTGGCAGGAGCAAAGGCTAATACTGGGAAAAGAAATACAGATCAAATTTTAAAAAGAAAAACAGCAGCAAAAAAGAAATCTAGACAAATAACTTCACCCAGGGTACAATGCAAATGAAATACGTGCATTAGGGGTGAATTTGACCCTTAGCTTGCAAAACATCGTGTAACAAATTCAGAGTGAACTCTGGGCATTTGTTTTTCACAGAACACTGCAGCTTGTTTATGAGGAGATTGAAAGTTACAGTCGTGGTTGGTTTTTTAGCAAAACTGAATGTCTTACAGTGGTTTGTGGTTAGTTTGGGGCTGTGGTTTTTTTTTTTTTTCTTTTGTATTTATACTTATTCTGCAAGGCAGATTTTTTTCCGAAGTGACGTGAAATGGGGAGAGCTGTTCAGTGTAATTCTTACTGCATGGAAGTTTACTCTGCCTTTCTTCTGCTCCCTGACTGGAAAAAGGAGAGGCTACTTGTCTCCTCGCCAGCATGGCCACATCTGTACCTCCTGAATTCTTTCCCTTTTGTCTTGAATATCTGAAATACTGTTCACAGAACAGTACATTTTAAGAGTCTCTGTCTTTATTCATGCACCATTATTTTACAAGTTAATTGTCTATTTTTCCTCGTCTTAGGGGGTAGCTGATTTGTAGCTAGACATTAAAATAAGTTATTGAAAAGTTGTACAATAGATCGTATGTTCCTTGTGGTGGCAAGAATAGTGGGGTTTCTTAGTTGTGAAAGTTTTGAAGGCTGTAATGTAAACTTGTGCAACTTCCATTGAATTAATTTTACCTCTGAATTTATCTCTGCTAAACTCTTCAGTTTAAAGTTTAAATGTTCTTGTCACAAGTGTAAGAAACAGATTAATTAAAAAAACCATGTGGCATTATTTCATTTCCCAGATCTTTGTGCTCTAGGTCCATTTAAAAATAAATCACAAATAAAATGTTTGTCATCCAAAATTAACCTGAGCATGATTAGTTTCACTGATATTGTACAGTATACTTGGATGACATTTTGAAAGTTTTCCTCAAAATTTGTTTGTGTGTGGTTTTTTTTTTGGGGGGGGAGGTGTCTTGTTTGTTTTTTAGGTTTTTTTGGGGTTTTTTTTTGTTACAGTGTTTAAAATTGGAACAAGCATGGAGTGTCTAAGGCTACTGTAGCAATTTCCTCTATTTCTTTATTGCAGGTAATGAAGAATATGGGGGGAAAGACTGTAAAAAATCTAGTTAACCCCTTAAAGCATTGCACTATTTTGTAGAGCAAATAGCCTTTTGTACTTGAAGTTGATTTGATCTGTGAAAGGCAACACCTGAATATCATGCAAGACTACGTAATTATGCCTGATTGTAAGGGTTTTTTTCAGGTATAGGTCACGGGAAATTCAGTTAGGGTAGAGTATGTACAAAGCTAAGAAATATGCAGATTTTCTGTTGTAAGATTGTGTAAAAATT